AGAGAGAGAGAGAGAGAGAGAGAGAGAGAGAGAGAGAGAGAGAGAGAGAGAGAGAGAGAGAGAGAGAGAGAGAGAGAGAGAGAGAGAGAGAAAGAAAGAAAGGAAGTGAGAGAGAGAAAGGGAGAAAGAGAGAGAGAGAGAGAAAGAGAGAGAAAGGGAGAAAGAGAGAGAGAGAGAAAGGGAGAAAGAGAGAGAGAGAAAGGGAGAAATATATATAGAGAGAAAGGGAGACATATAGAGAGAGAGAAAGGGAGAAATATATATAGAGAGAAAGGGAGAAATATATATAGAGAGAAAGGGAGAAATATATATAGAGAGAAAGGGAGAAATATATATAGAGAGAAAGGGAGAAATATATATAGAGAGAAAGGGAGAAATAGAGAGAGAGAGAAAGAGATAGAGAGAAATAGAGAGAGAAAGAGAAAGGGAGAAAGAAAGAGAGAGAGAGAAAGGGAGAAAGAAAGAGAGAGAGAGAGAGAGAGAGAGAGAGAGAGAGAGAGAGAGAGAGAGAGAGAGAAAGAGAGAAAGAGAGAAAGAGAGAAAGAGAGAAAGGGAGAGAAAGGGAGAGAAAGGGAGAGAAAGGGAGAGAAAGGGAGAGAAAGGGAGAGAAAGGGAGAAAGAGAGAAAGAGAGAAAGAGAGAAAGGGAGGAAGAGAGAAAGAGAAAGGGAGAAATAGAGAGAGAAAGGGAGAAAGAGAGAGAGAGAGAGAAAGGGAGAAAGAGAGCGAGAGAGAGGGAGAGAGAGAAAGGGAGAAAGAGAGAAAGAGAAAGGGAGAAAGAGAGAGAAAGGGAGAAAGAGAGAAAGGGAGAAAGAGAGAGAGAAAGGGAGAAAGAGAGAGAAAGGGAGAAAGAGAGAGAGAGAAAGGGAGAAAGAGAGAGAGAGAAAGGGAGAAAGAGAGAGAAAGGGAGAGGGAGAAAGAGAGAAAGGGAGGGAGGGAGAGGGAGAAAGAGAGAAAGGGAAGGAGGGAGAGAGATAGAGAGAAAGGGAGAGAGAGATAGAAAGGGGGGGAGAGAGAAAGGGAGGGGGGGAGAGTGGGGGAGAGAGAGGGGGCAGGAAGGAAGCAACGTGTATTTAAGGATTTCAAAGTTGGCGAAATTCAAGAGCTTGGATATTTTCGAGGGAGAGTTATGTGGTTTGATATGCATTGTAAGCAATCCTTCCATGTAGAATAAAAGATAACGTTAAGAGATGTTGCGTTTGGGATCTGCAATACTGCACGATGTAAAAATTCGTGGTTATATTTCATAGGTTGATTGTGATGTTGAATAATAGCTGCCAACCTCAATTTTCTCACTGAAGTTTGTACTTATGTCAATGAAATTTGTATTTATACTTTATTAAATATTAATTTCTTGGTCTATAGCACTCCTGTAATTTATAATGTCAAAATGTATCAGATCTGCAAAGTATATTGTGCTATGTATTATATTTTGTATGATTGAGTTATTTATTCGTAAGCAGAGTAAAACATTTATATTGTTTTAATTCTCTGTGCACAGTGCCCGTGTATGTGAAAATTGTTATTTATACAACCTATATGAGAATTTGATAATTGTGTTTTATGTCAGATGATATCCATTTATTTATTTAATATTTTATAGACCTCCAATCCTCTCTGGTGCTCAGTCTGTCTGTCTCCAATTTCTCATCCCAATTTCCCACTATTTGAGGTTGTATTCTTTAGTGTGTTGATGACAGTTTAAGATATATCGAGCCAGAATTATGGCACAAATGTTATTTAGATTGTTTATTGGACTGTTTTTTGATATTTGTGGATTTTAATGAAATGACAGAAATATGCTATATATGACGAATGCAGGTTACTTGTTATCTATCAAAATAAAAGCCAATGACACGAATTTTGTTCAGATTATCCTTAAAACAACCCCCCCTATGAAAGCCAGCCATTATAATATTCAAACGAAAACAGATTATAACGGAAAGTGACATGCAGCGTCAGAACACGTTTGAAAAGTACCCATAAAAAAGCGAGTGGGAGCCGAACACAGCCCGACTGGCGTATTGGATCAGGACTTATAAATAGAAATCTATACAATGTATATCTTACCCAAAATAAACGAGCAATTCATCCCTCCTCACAACGTATCAATGATAATGTCAAAAAGTAAAGAGTCCGCACGAGAAATAAGGGGGAAGCGGGGAGAAAAAACGTATTATTTTCGTAAACGAGCATCAAAAAATTGCAACAAAGCTCAAACACCCACACGCGCACATCTCCGGATCTCTATGCAAATGATGATGCTGCAAAAATCACGCGAATGATCAATAGTTTCAACGGAATAAATAATAACAAACCGTGAAATAGAACGAATCAAGATTAAACAGGATATAACAACCCCGTGTTTATCCCAGGAGCATTGGCAAAAGAGGCGATTGTCGGAATCTCCAACGAGGATTCAAGCTGCTCCTTCAAAAGAACAAAGGTGTTTGTCAGGAGGCAATGCCGGGCCGGGGCGAGGGTATTTTACCCCTATTTCCATGCCCCTTGCATGAGCGCCATGCCCTATCCAACAGGTGACACTTGGCCGGCCCTTCCCCGCCAGGCCAGGGGTCAGAGCCATGGCATAAGGAAACCATCTTTATACATGGCGTCATAGGAGTGGGAATGGAGAGTCCCAGGCTTATGAGGGATTTCGGGGCCTGGGCGCCTCCTGCCCTCGCCAGGACCAGCTGAGCACGCCCTCGGCAGGCCTGGCCGCCCTCTGCGTGGCTATAGACGGGGCTGGGCGCGAGATTTGGTATTTTCCCGTAATTTCCAAGCGTTTGGCGCTGTTGAGGAGGGAGAGGCTTGCTCCGCCATTTCGATTCGTGTGGCGGGGGCCCGAGAGGCGAAGCGGCGGAGCGGCGGCGGCGGGACCCACGCCGCCCGCCGCCCCGCTACACGTGGCACCGCCGCCTCCGCCACACAGAAAACGGGAAGGATGGGAATCGCCGCAAATCCTCCAAGGAGCCGATTTCAGGCCTCTCCTTCAGGAGAAAAGTGCCTATATGCGGGCGTGAATGCCCTGGGCAGCGAGGGCGGCGCGGGGCGGCCGTGGGCGGCCTGGCGGGCGCTCGCCGGGCTCGTGGCGGCGCGGTGGGGTTTCTCGCAGCGCGGCCCCTGTTCGCCTGCACCAGAACTTTTTTTGGGCGGGAAGGGCGCTTTGTGGACCCCGAAAGCACACTTTGGAGTGTTACAGGGCGAGCAGGGGCGTCGTGCGAGCGGCCTCGCGCCCGGGGCGGCCTACGACCCTTCGTGAGCCGCGGGCGCCGCGAGAAGCCGCACTTCGCTCCGAGACATGGCACAGATCAGCCGGGAAACTCTGAAGGCGAAAATATCTGGTAATGTTTTTGCTGGTTCTAGACCTATTTCGGGGCCGCCCTCGGGCAGGGGCCCTTGTGAGTGTGCCCTCCACCGACTGAGGTTAGTAGGCTGCCGTGTTAGATCCGCGTCGGCCCGAAAATCGCGAGAGAAGGAGGCGGCCGAGGAGCGGCAGAGTCATGCAGTGCGACGTTGCCGCTGTTCGCCGCCGCGAGTGTTTACTTCCGCTCGTGTGCCGTGTCTGGGCGTGCGACGTTGCCACGTCGCGCGGCTGCGGCGCGGGCGGCGAGCAGCGTCACTCGCACTCGCCGAGCTGACCGCACGCCGCCCTGAGTGTTCCTTCCCGCCGGCCCTCCGCTGATACTAAGCACTGTTGGCGCCGCCTTTCGCCCCCGACTGCTGCTGCCAGGGCAAGTGAGCATTTCCGCCGGGCCCCCTCGGCGCCCCCGCCTTTACTTGCAGCGAAAAGTGTGTCTGCGGAGCCTTTATTTCCGTCAGGTGGGCCTCCAGCGTCGTGCGGGGACGAGACCGGCATTTTGAGGCGACGGCCCGGCCAGGCGCGGGGGGTCGCCTTTTCGCTCGTCCGGGGCCCTTTGCTTCCTTCCAGGCGGAGAAACGACTCCTACGTGTGTAGAGGACGCCCTAGAGAGGGATTCCAGTGCATCAAAAAGCAGAGTTCACGGGCGCACTTTGTCACAAATGTCAGAGAAGTGTCCAGACGTCCATGGCGGGTGAGCGTCGCTTCGCCCCGCTCGCATTAATAGGCTCGGGGGAAATTTTTGCTTTTTGGGCCTCTCCGGCGGGCTGAGTGTGTGGCGAAAGTGGCGTCAATGGGCCAAGTGGAGTTCTGGGAGCATTTTTCATTAGGGGATCCGCCGCCAGTAGTTGGCGTGGAATGAAATATCGACTTAAAAGCGAAGGCTGGGTGGGTTGCGACCTTTTGCCGCCAAGGCGCCCGACGCCTCGCGAGCCCGACGCTCAGGCTTCGGCGAGTCCTCGGGCTTCGTGGACGCTTCTCTGGCTGACGGGGCACCCACTCTCCTCCAGGGAAGCTGAATTTGCAGGCGAGGCAGAGGGACGCTTTTTCATTCCCGCTCCGTGGGCGCCGCCACACAAGAGCGTCTTTGTGGAGGCGAATTCGCACGGACGGAAATCGGGTGCAAGCAGAGCGAGTCCTGCTAACGGTCTTTTTTCTGCAGCCAGGATAGGATTGGCTGCTTGCACCCAGTTTGAATTGACCCCTGGGTGGGCGGCCAGTATGCAGGGGGGGAGGGGGGGAGAAAAGTCCACGGGAGAGAAACCGTATTTTTTTCTTTCTGTCTTGTGCGTGTGCGCGGAAACACAGGCGTCGCGTCTCCCATATATTAGTGAGAGTTGTGAAGCTGTTGGGATAACCTGTGTGGATTGGGGGCTGCTGGTAAACAGAGACTGCCTTTGGTCACTGTGCTGTGATGCGTTCTAGTTATTTTCAATTATTTTTCAACTTAAAGCTGCTGCTGCTACAAACAATGCAGAGAAATACTCCAGTGCACTGATATATGTAAACATGCTTGTGGTGTAGTACAGTGTAGTATTGTGTGCAGAAGTGCTTACATAAATTATTTTTCGTGTTTCTACATTATTACTTGTGTTTTAAAGACTTTTTGTGTTTACTTTAATATATGTGTTTACAGCCCTT